CACACACACACACACACACACACACACACACACACACTGGCAGGTTCACATCAGGACTAGATGTTCGCTCAGACACTTCTCTCCCATGTAGCAAACACATTCGCAGCAGTCATCACCTGGTCACATGACCAAGAGCCCCGCCCCCTCCCCTCCCCCCTCCACCAGGTAGTYTCTGAGCTCTCAGGACTCAGCAGGAATGTTTTAAAACTGATGGTTTAATGAACCCATCCATGAAGTGTCTGATGGAAGATTTGTGCGATGATGTCATCTTTCAGACCAGCAGAGACACGTTTTTTATTTTTTATTTTTTCTTAGCTGCTGCAGTTCAGAACTTCAAACTAAATCTGTGTCCTCGCCCCTCCTCCCTCCTCAGTGCGACCCGCCCCTGCAGGTCCAGGACCTGTTCCAGGACATCCAGGATGGACACGTCCTCATGGCTCTGCTGGAGGAGCTGTCCGGCTGCAGACTGGTCAGACTCTCCTCTCCTCACGTCTTTAAACGTTTGTTTTTCGCTGAGTCGTTAAACTTTTTGTGTTTCTGCCTCCTGGTGGATCCCGCAGCTCCACAGCTTCAAGAAGTCCTCTCACCGTATCTTCAGACTCAACAACATCGCTAAAGTCCTGTCCTTTCTGGAGGAGAGGAATGTGAGTCTCCCAGTCAGCCTGCAGTTATTAAGTTTTAAAGTTTGAAACATTAAAGGTTTGACACGTCCGTGTGTGTTCAGGTCAAACTGGTGAGCATCGATGCTGCCGATATCGCTGATGGAAACTCCTCCATCATCCTGGGCCTCATCTGGAACATCATCCTCTTCTTCCAGGTAGTTTCATTTACTCTCTCAAATCGAGCTGTGGTCWGTAACAACACTTGTTTACAATCTGCTGCTCAGCATCACCTGCTAAATGACAAAAAGTTGGGAGAAATCAGCAACGTCCACTTTGGGATTTCTTTGAATATGACTGCGAGAAAAATCAAAACAGGTGGAATACTTCTCAAGGGAAAACTGTGAATCAAGCTCACACAAGATGCTAATTATGGCTATCTTTTTTTTCTACTTTATCTTCGTTAGATTTTTTTTCTTCTTTTTTTATGGCCTCCCTTCTCCCCCTATAGCCATCCTTTCCACACCATTATTATG